CACATTGATTTATATTTGAGAATTTATAAACAACATTTTACCATGTCCACAGTTTTAGTAGTGAAATTAAATTATAATTTATTTCATATAAATAGAGCCATATACAACTACTAGTTTAAATTACCAGAGGGAGACTTTGTACAAAAGTCGATTGCCTGGGTACCTTGGGTACCTCTGTCCCATTCGTGTTTCAACCGTGAAGCAGTTGTGTTTGCATTGCTGTGTTTCGGTTTGAAGGGTGAGATGTAGCGTGAATTTACAGGGTACAGAGGAATAACACCTGAGTCCTCAGGAATGGCAACGCATGGGGGGTATCATCGGCCGTATTGCCTCTCTGGAAACTATTGCGGTTAATTTCTAGGGAATTTATCATAATGAGCTAACTAATTTGAATGTATCCTCACTTCATTTTCTATATTAATATTATATATATTATTTGATTGTATGTTTGTTTGTAATGGTTAAAGTCCAAAACTACTCAACTGATTTCAAACATTCTTTTAGACTATAGAAAACTGCATCATCGTAGAGTAATATATCAGACGAGAGAACAACAGTATGGTTGTTTGCCACTTTTGTGGTATAAAAAAAAAATTAAAAGTATTAATTTAATAAAGACATACCGTCTTTATTAAATTCAGTTACAAATTGTTCAAATCACCGTGACTTGTAATCCCTCATGTAGTGTGATTTCATGGTAGGCATACCATGGACTGACATGGTTTTTGTTAATTATTAACAAAATCTAGCGTTTAATTAATTAAAATAACATTACAATGTTATAGTGGAACGGTAGACTATAACAGGGCCGGATTATCCATTAGGCAGTGTAGGCAATTGCCTACGGGCCCCTCCGGGTCAGGGGCCCCTATCGATTAGGGGCCCGCGCTCCGATAATTATTTTTGAGAAAATTTAATTAAATTAAAATTTACATGTGAAAATTTGTACGACAAACGATTAATGAAAAAAAAAAAATATTTCCTTGATTTTTTTTATATTATATTATTATTCTTCAATAGATTTTGTAAACAGCTTTCAGTTATTATATATGTTAAATATTAGGTATAGTAGATTCTTGTAAGTGAGAGATGCATTGCTTAGGAGCTTCGACATGTTTTTTAATGGTAACCCCGTTTGCTATATCTATAATTTACCTAACATTGGCGGAGCACCAGTGAAAGATAATAGATGGCCCAACGTGATGAATTCCATAGGAATTAACCAGGATTTCCCGGAGGGAATCGAATGGAGGCGACCTGATATTGATAGCAATGGGCTATTAGATCCAATTACTAACAATTCCTGTCCTCCCATCTTACGTGGTTTGTTTTTGGAGTCTAAGGACCTATAAAGTCCTTATTGGAAACCAGGGTACGTGACAGGATACGCCGTAAACGTCCAACATGGTTAATTCCTGGACTAGGAAATGGATTGGTGAAGATACATAGGAATGTAGAGAATGTTTTATGAAATATCTATAAAACGACACAATGTGCGAACCTGGTTGCAGGTTAAATTGACAATAACAAATGGCAAAACAAAACACAAAAAAAATATTACAAAACATTCGAACTTTGTACAAAAGTCGACTGCTTGGGTACCTCTGTCCTATTCATGTTTCTACCGTGAAGCAGTTGTGTTTGCATGGTTGTGTTTCGGTTTGAAGGGTGAGATATGGCGTGAATTTACAAGGTACAGAAGAATAACATCTGAGTCCTCAGGAATGGCAACGCATGGGGGGTATCGTGGGCGAAACAGTATACTTTGTTATGTCCATGGTACTGCTCATGTCTATAGATGACGATTACCACTTTCCATCAGGTGGGCCGTCAGCTTGTTTGCCATTCTAAGTTATATAAAAAAAAAATTACAAACATATAATTTATATTAAATAAAGATGTACAACAGGCGAGCTTAACTCTATAAGAGTTCTCCAGCAAACCCTGAGTGGAGAGGAGCATTAATTACCAACGGGCAGTGTGCTCACAATAATAGGAGGAAACAGTATAGCTGTTTCTATTAAGAAATAATAAATATGTTGACATATATACAAAGTAACTCATATAATTAAAGTCAAAATACATACATGTCTGTATATAATAATACATATATACATAAACATAAAATATCTTTTTTTTTATACCACTGTGGTGGCAAACATGCATACGGCCCACCTGATGGTAAGCGGTTACCGTAGCCTATGAACGTCTGCAATACCAGATGTATTACGCGCGCGTTGCCGACCCTGAAGAAACCTCTTTACCCCCCTTTTGAAGAACCCCATGCTGTAGTCTCTCGGGAGAACCTCGGCAAGGAGCTCATTCCATAACCTGAGTGTTCGTGGGAGAAAGCATTTTTGAAACCGCGCTGTACGCAACCATTTAGGCTGTAAGGTATAAAATATCTCTTCAGCAGTGAAAAAAAGCCCATTTTTCAATAATAACAATATTTTTATTGAAAAATGGGCTTTTTTTTGGCAGAAAAACCTGTGACACTACGACCTTTCCCTAATTTTTTGTGTTCGCAAAACAGCAGTTAGGCTTTGGTGATGTTTCAAGAGGGACGCTGCTGCCCATTCCTCGACCATTAATTTCTCAAAATCGCTTAGTATTAGAGATTAAAGATTATGGAAGAATAAATATAATAAAATAATTATTATATCATTTTGAAATTTATATATAGGTATTTTTTTCATAATAATCGAATGGAAATTACTTTTTTTTTAAATACTAAAGATCTCAAGTTTATATTATATTGACCTATAATATAATGAATGGCAAAGTAATTCAAAATATGAACTCACTTCATGCAAATAATTCTGTATTATCCAATAGATGAAATTCAAAAGAGACATTTTTCGCAATAGTTCAGAGTGTAAAATCGAACCGGCGCCCAACTAATGTGAAGTGGAATGAAGAACAACAACGCTGTAAAGTATCATTTCTATTTTTAAAACAGTTATCGACCTGTCTGTACGTCGAGCAATAACTTTACTATCTTTTCACGGTTGCAAGAAAAAATAGACTAAGTAATAATGATTTTTTTTTTTTGTTATAAAAATATTTAGTAGTTACTAAACATTTAGTACTGAATTCTAAATATTAAAGCGAGCGAAGGGTGACCCGTCCGTATATTTGGACGTGCAAGGGGAAAATGTGAAAACTCGCCCTCGGCTGCGGCCATGTTGTGACGTCACCGCACACGCCACGGGACGTATTTAGGTGACGTATATTTTCGTATTAGAAGGTAATTGCACGATATTTATCTCTCTTGTTGTTATAAAATAGATGCTTACTTACATATCCAATTATAATTCTTTGCTTACAGATTACGGATGTCTTCAAATAAAAAATAACTACTAATGAAATAAATAGAAAAAAATATTTTTATGTGCAGCATTAAAACAATATTACTGCTTCCTAAAGAGAATAAAAATGCAGGTTTATTTTAAAAGAGTACAACCAAGTCGTACTATAGTTACAGAGAGTTTAAAAACTCGAAAATAGTGGCAGCCTTAAAAATGCCAACCGGTTAATACCGGTAACTGTCAACAGACCGACTGACATTTCAGAGGCTACAGTAAACAATAGCGATATGATTTAAAACAAAACGTAGCCTGATGCAAAAAGCGAAAAAAATAACGGTACTATTGTTTGGAAAAATAAGAATATGCCGCTCAATACGTCCCAGTGTGCGCTTTGATGATGCCGGGCGTCTCCGATTGGCTGTTTGCAATTCGTGGGCGTGGTCTGCCCGGGCCCCGCCCCCCACCGCTAGGGGCTCTGGGGATCGTACCACCAAACCACATCAGGCGCTCACCGGCAGCGCCACGTTTAAACCACGCATGCTTGTTATAACCTATGTTAGACACGTGAACCATAAAACCGGTTACTTTTTTTTTTTCAAATAAAACTCCGTGACAATGAGTGTGATAGTGATGTGACTATCATTTCCCCAGTGATAATAGTGTTGTACGATATCGTTGCAAAAATGAAAATTGGATAGTCAGTGCTGAAGATCGTAACGGTTGGTGTCTGAAGCGACGTGAAATCGATTTGAAAACAGTGACCTCTGGTGGTGATATTTGATTTTCATGACACGTACCGTGTGTTATATAAACATTGATTATGAATACTGTGAATGTAAACAATATTGTTATTGTATTATAACAGTACGATATACGTAGTATCGGCGTGTAAATATGTTTAGCTGAAATCTCTAAATAACTAGTTATACGTAATCTAAATCTTAAAAATAATACTTCCAAATTAAATTTTCCATATAAATAAGTTTCCTGGCTCAAGTTATTCTTCCAAATACGAAAAAGAAGAAACAAAATTACTTAAATATAAAATAGTGCAATTCTTTCAAAAGTTTTACTAAACACATCGAAATATAAGTAAATCACAATTTTCTTCTAATAAAATTTAAATAATTATTGAAATATTTTTTTATTAATTAAAGCAATAAATAAATAAAGCGTGTTCTGAAAATAATTCTAAATTGTACGAAAAATTATTTCAAACAAAAAGATCTAAAAAAGTTAATAATCGAACTAATATGGCCTCTACCGCCGGATGGAATAATTGTTGAAACGAGGTCCATCTTCGAAACGAGGTCATTGTCTAAGTTTCCAAAGCAATAGCGGTTGTATTATTGAAATTACCTACCTAATTGATCCTAACTACGTTAAGAAGTTAAATTTTAAACAGTTTAAAATCATATAACAATAAAAAAAAAAGTAATATTAACGTTAAGAAAAAAAAATTTGCGACAAGACTGTCAAAAATTTAATGTGTCCTCTAGGGTTGTTATAAATAAAATAAAAAAAAAAACAAAGCAGAGGTGTTATCGATAGAGGTCTGGCGTCCTCTATTCATTTCGAAAAGAACAATTTAAAATTGAATTCAAATTTGGAACGGACAAATGTCAGTTAGGATAGTGTGAGTGCGCGCGGTAGAGGTAGAGGCGGAGTAGAGAGGCCTCGTCCCGTAGTCAGCAGCAGCCGTCAAGATAGCCACAGACTCGAAGTTACAGTTGTGCGGCTGGGGTGGGCAAGCTGGCTACGCACTGGATGGATGCGTGGACACTGGCCTACTCCGGCCGCCGCCGCAGCCGCACTCGAGCCAGCTTGGCACAGTATACGCGACAAAGAGGCGCCGCCGGAATGGAAAGAGGTCAGTACAAAATGTGCTATATCAATAATAATAGTATAATAGTTATTTGCTTAAATGTGGTTAAAATAGATATTTTTCAATGTTATAAAGTCACATATTTAGCCACGTTGTTTAAAAGGCGTGCAAAATGTAAAGTCTTATTTAAATAAATACAATTTAGACCATTTCGAATTTTACAGAAACAATATTTATTCTAATTACATATAAAATAATATATATAAAAAAAATAATGTAATCAAAATTTAATCGATAATAAAATATAATTTTATACATATTATATAATATATCAATAAATTAATTATATTGGTAATCCAAATTAGAATGTGTTAATACAAAATGAACTTCAATTAGGTTAGATATTGAAAATTAGGGCTCTCATAGCAAAGAACCATCGCCGAAATAAGTAAAAAGAGGTCTGTCAAAAATATATTATATCATAAAGGATTGAGGTAGATAATTGAATAAAACCGTTTTTGTGAAGAGATGCCGTCAAAATAGAAAGAGGCTAGTACACAATGTATATACGCGTACAATATTCAATTACATTTGGAATAGATCAGTGTTTTTCTTAGTATGGGTTGCGACCTCCTGGGGCTCCCTAAATCTTTACAAGCGGATACCGGCTCAAAATGTCGTTGAGTAGTTTCAATGCAAGAGATAGGGAAGCTTATTTGGTCCAAGCAAACTCCCCTCTCTCTTGCACTGACCAAGCAGCTTGGTCAATTCTGTTCTTCTTGATAAAACATGAAATAAGTGCCGTCTATATGCTCGTACGTATATATGATATCAAATCTCATTGATAAAGGAATGCTGCGTTGGTTTGGTCATTTGGAGAGGATGGATGAAAGAAGAATTACGAAAGAGATTTATCGAGCAAGAATGAATGGAGATGTCGGTAGGGGCCGCCCTAGACGGACGTATGTCGACCAAATAGGCGACGTGCTGAAGAAGGGCCAAATTAAAAGTACCCGTAACCGGCGAGCGTGTATGGAAAGATTGATGAATGTGGAAGAAGCGAAAGATGTTTGTTTGAATCGAAGCATTTGGCATTCCATTGTTTCTGCCTACCCTAATGGGAGACAGGCGTGACAGATATTTATGTATGTATGTATGTATCTCATTGATATCACATGTTGTCTGTGATAACAATAATGCTGTTAATAAGTGACGGTTATCACATTTTATCAGGTGGTGGCAAACAAGCATACGCATACGGCCAATCTGATGATAGCAAACACGGTTACCGTAGCCTACTTGGACACAGACAGTCTTTTCTGCGACAGACTAAGCAATAGCGCAAGTTTTTTTTTTTTTATACAACTTAGAATGGCAATAAATCTGACGGTCCACCTGATGGAAAGTGGTAACCGTCGCCTATAGACATGAGCAGTACCGTGGACATAACAGAGTATACTGTTTCGCCCATGATACTCTCCATGCGTTGCCATTCCTGAGGACTCAGGTGTTATTCCTCTGTACCCAGTAAATTTACGCCATATCCCACGCTTCAAACCGAAACACAGCCATGCAAACACAGCTGCTTCACGGTTGAAACACGAATAGGACAGAGGTACCCAAGCAATCGACTTTTGTACAAAGTCTCCCTCTGGTGGTTTTTGTACATCATAAAAAAAAAAAACGGAAAACTTCGTATCTTGGTCATGTATTTATTTCTACACGACAGAAATCACCTTCCACACGTGATTGTGATGAGCAAAATGCTGGCGAGAGAAAGGTCTGTCTTAGCTCCATAATATACGCGAGTAGATGGCCATTGTGAGTGTAGCCGAATTGTTCTATCTCGCAAGAAACAAGGGCAGATTCCGCGAGCTGATAGCTAACCTCCACTAGTTGGACAGACGTTGTAAGAAGTAAAATAAGAGAGTAGATATACGGAGTAACACGATGGTCCTTAAGAATAGCAACGCGTAAATAGTATAATCGTCATGTGGTCCCGTTATAGAATGGACCACCCGTTCCTTTTCCGTGGATGTCGTAAGAGGCCACTAAGGGAACTCAATGTTCGAGAGATGTGCAGCAGCGTCCCTTTTAAAACATCACCAAGGTTTAGACCTGTGGTTGCCAGCCCGCCTGCCTAGCGTGGCAAGTATTGGTAAAGCACCCCGCTAGGGGGCGGCCTATGTTCAGCAGTGGAGAGTTAACAGCTGATATAGAATAGTATGGTAAAGAGTACCATGTGTATCTATCTATCACGTTATATTAATATCTACATTGCTGTCCATATCTACAGGCGACGGTTCCCATCAGGTGGGCCGTCGGATTGTAGCCAATCTCAGTTGTATAAAAAAAAAATCTAGCTTGTTTACAATTCCCAATAGTATAAGAAAGTCATGCCTATGTACACATAAGAGATTTTTTTGATAATAAATGATTAATTAATAAACTTTTGGCTCGCTATTTCGGACGTGTGGATTTTGGAAGTAGGAAATTCATTGACATACACAAACGGTCCTGATGGTGTACTATGATTAAACATACAGCAGTTTTTAAGTTACATCTTCAGGAATACAACTATGGAAACTGTATCCGAATTTGTGCAGTAGTTTTAACGTGGTTACCGGATCAAACATACAGACAGACAGACAATAGTTTTCAAAACTGTTATATTAGTCTTTACTAATCTCTCTCTCTACTAATATCTCCCATGTACTACAGGCATCATATAGTTACAATTTTATTATATATATATATATATATATATATATATATATATATATATATATATATATATATATATATATATATATATATATATATATATATATATATATATATTGACTTATTAAATAAATAAGTAGCAATTATATTATAAATAATATTAATGATATTTTACATGTTTCCCGGACAGTATAAATATTTAATTTTAATCAAATCATGCCATAAAATGCAGTAATAATAACAAATAATTAAATACAAGTTAATAATATAATAACAAGTTCCAAACCATTTGTAACAATTAAGTAACTTGTAATATTGTAAGTATATTATACATATTGCAATTTTTTTATATAAAATTAATTATTTTATATACATATTTTAATAAATGTATAAGAATAAATAAATAAATAAATAATTTTCCAATTAAGAACATTATATTTTTTATAAATAAATGCGCATAATGTATAGTCTTATATCATATTTGAAATAAGTTTATAGAAAGTTTTTAACCGACTACAAAAGTGTTCAGTTGTTTTTTTTTATGTTTGTTACCTCGTAACTCCGTCAATTGTACACCGATTTGTAAAATTTTTCTTTAATCCGAAAGGATAAACTTACAGAGTAGTCCCGTAGAAGTTTTATTAAAATCAGTTTAGCAGTTTAGTTTTTAAACCAAAATATTTGATTCCACCGCAATTGAAGTCGTTTTCGTCCACTATTGAACAAAGGCCTCCCTCTTGGGGGGTTTTGCCAGTAGTTGCCACGCTTAGTAAGCGGATCGGCAACTGCAGCCAGACTTTGGTGATGTTTTAAGAAGGACGCTGCTGCCTATTTCTCACCCATTAAGTTCCCTTAGTCGCCTCTTACGACACCCACGGGAAAGGAATGGGTGGCTCATTCTATTTTGTTACTAACATTTTAAAAATAATGCCAGCTATTATGTAAAAGTATTTGTAAGTGACACGTTATGCGAACTAGTAAAGAACCGGTTATTATCTCTAAAAATACTTTACGCGTTTCGTGTAACTTTAAAAAGCAGAAATGTAAATAGATCCAGTTTTATTGAATACCCAATAAAAAAAATATGTAAATATTTGGAATAATAATAAATATAAATAATTTCATTCATAAAAAAACAAAACGAATGTTTAAGTTATTGATTAGGACGACAAGTTGTAATACGCAACTCTTGGAGGTTACTTAGATCCTGTTTATGCAACTTAGAATGGCAAACAAGCTGACGGCTCACCTGATGGAGAGTGACATAGAACGGATCACCCCTTACTTTCCTATGGCTGTAACAGGTGATTAAAAAATTTTATAGTCGAAACATGAGCAGCAGGATCCCTCTTAAAACATCACCAATACTTTACTGCGGTCGCCGGGCGGAAAGGGATTGTTAGCAATGGAGCTTGACAGCCCCATTGCTAGCAATATGTCCTATTTGTTTGACCTCCACGTGGTTCTCCCTGGAAACCATCGTGAACAATTCTTGTTGAATTCGTTACGATGGGCTAACTGACCTACTTCATCCTCACGTGTCATCCTTCATTCCCTGGTGCCCCGCCGGTGTATACCGATAGCGCGGGTTACCATTCCATTATCACCCATTAAAAACAAAACTGCGGTTGCCAACCTGGCAAAACCTCCCAATAGCGAGCGGTGTCTAGCAGTGGACAGTTAACGGCTGATAGCAAAGTAGAAATAGTAGTTTTTTTCTTTTAAACTGGGCATAAAAATCACATATTTTGTCACAGTCGTTACAATTTGAAATCACTCCCGCTCCTCAAAATATTTTTCTTCTTTATTGAAATTTATAAAAAAAAAAGAAGTATTTTTATCCACCACGATTACGGATATCTAGAATAATTCCGAAAAGTTTTTAAATCGTAACAAATCGATTAACAAAAATTATTAATTGTGGAAACGTTAAAATTTTAACACGAGCATTCGCTCGCCGAATATAATAACTCGTTATGGTATTTTGACTTTTATGTTCAATGACCCACGATTTATTTTAACTATTTACTCTTTAACCCCACAAGATAAGAATAACATTCAATGAGTTAAAATTACTGGAAGAGACCTTTTTTTTCCAGAATTGTTTGCACAGCGATTGTACATATTTTACTTTATTATTCTAGTTATTTTATCGATTTTATAAAAAAATTATATAATATATTTTGTTTAATGACTTTTATTGTAAAAAGTCAGAACACAAACAGGAAATTATATACATACATGTTATTATTTTAATTTTATTATTTTTATACTTAAATAAAAAGCTATATATAATTATTAATCTGAAAGATATGCATGAA